AGACATTTGTATACACTTCCTATTTCCATTTCCTTATTACTAAACCTCATCAACCCATTACTGTCTGACCATTCCTTTGAAATGACTCCTGCAGAGTTTCCAATGACCTTCCTCTAAAACATCCAATGGGCATTTATTCCAGCCTCACCTAACTGGACTTCTCTAATTTATTCACCTTGGCTTCCATGTCATTTTCATTCTGGCTTTCCTAAAACTTTCTTAGTCCATCTTTTCCTAGCCTAAACTTCCCTGGCATTTTCTAGATTCCTGACCTTGTTTCATTGGTTTCTTCCATGTACTTAATCTTCTTGAAATTCTGAAAAATCTCACCTAAAGGTACTAGTGGCTTAGTGATAGGATTCTCTATTTTTGGGTGGGAGACTTTGGCTCAGCTAATGCACCTGATGTACAGCTGCCATCCATTGAGTATTGCTATGGTACTGAGCTATTTTCACTGGAGATTTCAGACTAAGATACACTAAAAAAAGCCTGCGTGGCTATCTGTTTCTGAAGATTAGCCAATTAAAACTTTATGAATCACAACAGTGACCTGGTGCACTTGGTCGTAGGGATGGTGTAGGACTGGAAGCACGTCTTCCCCTCATGCATTGGATCGTCATGCATCAAGAGCTGATTGGCTACCTTTAACAACAACATAATTTCACTAAAATGTCCCCTATTTCTTGCTTTCTTTATCTTTTTAAATTTCACATAAATTATATAATTTAATTTATGTCATTGAACAAACCAGATATTGTGGTATAATTCTAGCCCTTATATTCACTGTTTCATACCAATTTTGCATTCTATGTGGTTTTTAATTTAACCCTTCCACTTGTTATATAACTGCCATAATTCAAGGACATCTGAAATTTCACTTGTACTATTTCACTGGAATCCTAATTGATTTCCCAAACTCCAATTTTGCTTCTTTACTCAATCCATCCTGACAGAGTGAGATATCGAAAATGCTGATGTGACAATTTAACCATTATCCTATTTAACCTCCCTCATTGACTCTATCACAGGATAAATTCCTTTTGAGCCTTTCCTCTTAAAACGTATTGCCTTGGCCTTCACACTTTATATTTAATCACAGAGATTTATCTGAAAAATTCTGAATGCAATCCACATGATTTTTCTCATTGTCTTTCATTGGTCTGAGAACTTTTCACCTGCCTTCCCTTGGTGAAGTATTACTTATTGCTCAATATGAAGCTTATGTAACATCTTACTAGGTCCAGGCCATCATCCTCTATGGTCTTATCATGGTGTCCCGTGCAACTCTTTGTCTCAACATTAGCCATGCTAGGTCATCACTGGTGTGTCTGCCAAGCGGCTCCATAAAACACTTCCCGGCTAATTTTTATACTCTAATTCCTAGAAATTAGCAGGTAATCAATAAATGCTTGTTGAACTCAATTGCAAAGAGTGAATTTGAAGCCAGGAATGAATTATCTAAACAAATGCGTCAAGAACCCTGCGCTGCAGTTTTCTTAGGCAAGCTGTTCATTTGAACAGTGAAGATTATTGTTAACTAAATTCATACAAAATTTTCTGTAATCCTTAATTATGAAGAAATCATCAAGGTCAAGTTTTTAACTGATAGTATCAATGATTCCAATATCTTATAACCAAATCGTTTCTTACTTTTTCCTGATCCTTAGTTGTTTACTGTTTCTTGCATTCTACTCTGTCTAGCTCTATAACATCCCCACAAAATAGACAAATTAGGCACTGTCAACATTATTTCCTAAATGATTTACCACATTTAAGGAAGACTGAAAATATGTTTCCCCTAGTAAGGATCCAAACCGCAGATGTCTGGATTTCTGAGCTTTCCATTTCCCATACCTTTATTTTGCCACACTCAGAGCAGCATGAAAGTGTAATTTAAAAATATGTATATTCACTTCTCTGAAATTCCCTGCCCTAGTCACAGCTACACTCCCTGGGGCTATCCAAACACGCTCTATCCATCTTAGATGAGATGACACATTTGCTGTTTGAAGATTACATCTTTGTATCCAAGGGTCTCCCAAGGGTTCTCTTCTCTTGCAGAATGTCTCCAGAGCAGCATTTAAAAAGATGTCTGATCTTTTGCCTTAGATGTAGATTAGACAATTTTGTCAGCATTCTATGTCATTTATGTGCACATGATACTTCCTTTACTTATAATGTATACCACCAATATAGCAGCAATAAAAAAA